GTAAGTAAGACATTTTGCCAATGGAACAAGACAATTTATCTTTAGAATAAGACAAAAATATTCCATTGTCATATTTCAAGTGCATGATATCTAATTATCTTTTTGTTTTCAGATTAAACATGCTCATTCCATTGGCAATTCCACTTATTTACCGACTCAAATTAAGGGTAAATAAAGTTAATGTAAGAAATTATTTCTGTATCATTTTTGCAGTGTAGTTTAATCTTGGATCGTTATATTCCGTAATGTCTTGTTTAGTCCTGATTTATAGTTTTATCTGTTTGATTATTTCCAGTATCCTTGCTTAGCTTTAATCATGCTTTAGTTGCCCAACTAGTACTATCGTTTCCAACTGTTTCACACAATTAGTTCTTTGTTTTCATCGACACTACAGTTTATTCTATTTATGTGGCTCTGTTAGATTGAACACTCACGGGTGAATATGTTTACTTCGCCACACTATTTCCACATCCGGTACCAATGAATAAACACCTTCACTCACAGAGCTGCCTCTGTCTGCCTGTTTGCACCTTGGGTCCGCTCCAAAGTACTCCTCCATGATGCGTATTGAAGTTATCCTCTGAATTAAAATTGACTTGCTGTTTAGCAATTCAATTTGGGTGAAGTGGCTGCTATTACAATTTAACACTCTAGTATTGTACCTTGGCATGACTCTTGCCCTTTTCATACATCTGTATTTCTAGAAAAACTAAATGTTTATAACAGAATTTTATTCCACTAAATACTGAATGCTCTACCGCCTTCTGAAAAGGATGCATCTAACGAGAGAATGTGTTAAAGAACATCTGTTATACAACACAAAAGAAGCACACTTTGTCGGCATGCTAACACTGTGCCTACATATGTCTGCTACTTTAGCAAAGTGATAGCATACAGTTGCATTTAGAAATAAGGGTTAAAGAACAATTGTTACACAAGCGAATATGATGTTAGGAATTGTAAAATACAGTATATTACTTTTGAATTAATGGTTTACTTCTGTTGTCTATTTTATAATGTCTTGAGTATTACAGTAGAAAAGTAATGACAATAACCTTCTGATACTATATATCTATTTGTCTACCTGTTGCTGTTTATTAAAAATGTAGAAAAACATTTCTATAAGAGGGTTTTGAAATTTATTTTAGTTTTTTTATTGCATACTTTTATTTAGTTTGGCAGGAAGGATTACTTATTTATGTATTACTGGTTCGCTGAAAAATGATAGAACTCTGTTTCTGACTAAGTTTGAAAAATGAGTTGTGTTTTTTAAAATGTTGTCTTTTTTTTAAACTGCTGTGAGAGGAATACAAAATGTGCAAAAATGTAAGGATGGGATTCTGGTTTAAAACAACTTTTAGTTATTCAGTAAGACTATTTTCACAAGCATAATTTAACTGTAGGTTAAGTTGTTACTTTAGTCAAAACAATTGATTTATTTAGATGTACCAACTCAAAGATCCATACCTTTGAACTATATTGAAGCAAAATATGTTAAAAATAATCTAGAATAGTTTACGAATTGTTGTGGTAAGGCAAACCAAATCATAACTTGTTCCCATGGTGAATTGAATATTCTTCTAATTGTAATTTGATTTGAGCTTTTATCCTAATTTTCCACAAATACATATAACGAAAGACAAATACAAAAAAATAAATCAATGTCTGCTTAAATGTATTTGCTAACAAGCTTGGAGCACTTGTTGCTAGCTGCTAGCTTATTTTACATTTCAGAGCATGACCTTAATGTGTCAGAACTTTAGATGCTTAAGCAATAATTTATTGGCTTTTAGCAATCATAAAACAAAATAATCAGCTACAATACTTGATATTTTTTGGATGAGTTTCTACAAACGGATGTCTTCAGTTGACCAAATTTGTGGTCAATTTTGAAAGTATATCACATTAAAGGTATAGTGGAGGATATTCTTTTTCCGGGTGGATCATCAAGATAAGTGGTCCTCCTAACTGTCAATCATTCTGGTGATATGCTTATGTAAGTTCGTCCTACGTGCTCGTCCCCATTTTGACTTACCCGTGGTGAGTGTGACATAGTGGAAAAATTGCAAATCTTCTTTTGGAAAGTAAGCTTGTATAAGCAATGAAAACAGCAACTTTTAAACAGAGCGTGCACAAGGAGAAATGGGATTTTGCACGCTCTCACACATTTAATAGGCATTCCCTCTTGGGAGCGGGTACAGGGTTGTGCATGTGCATTTTCTTTTAAAGTGGAGGGGGTGGGTCTTTTCAAAAATTCGTCAAAATCCTCCACTATACCTTTAAGACATTTTATTTGAAATACGCTGTGGCCAAAAAGTATTTAGTCAGCCACTGTTTGCGCAAGTTTTCCTGCTTTGAAATGGAACACTTCAACTATGAGAGACAAAATGAAATGAATAACATCCAGGAAATCACATTTTAGTATATATTTTTTTTTTTATTATTTATTTGTAAATAAAGAGATTGAGGGAGTTTATCAATGGCTTTATATGTCTTCCATTTTCTTTCAGTTTCTCCCTTTTATTCACACCAACCTGTTTGCTTATAGTAGGTTGACTCTTCCCTGCCTGGTGCAAGTCTCTTTACACAAATAGCAAGTTTAAGCAGGTGCCATTAATACAGGGAACAGGTTGTAACAGGATGTCCGGCCTATTCCGTCTTAAAGAAAATGTTACAGCCAAACATCTTGCCTGTTTGTGGCTAAACAAACACTTATTTTTCACCATAATTTATCTAAGAAAGTTTTTAAAAACCTACGATATTCCTAGATTTTTTTTCTGATATTGTGTCTTGGAGTTAAAGTGTTACTATGATGCACTATTACAATTTCTCTCATATTTTTAAGTAGAACTTGCAAAATCTGTGGCTGACTAATTATGTTTTGGTCCTAGTTCAATTTCTAACATGAATCAGTTTTAAAATTAAAAGAATAGTCGATTTTACTATAACTAAAAGGTCCAGAGTCCTGTTTATGTACTAGCACTGTAATCAGAAAAAAAAGGAAAATTAATAGATATTTATGAGAGGTAATACAGGTATAAATACTGTATAACAATTCATTTTGAAAAAAATATATAACATTTGTAATTACATAGCTAAATAGAACATGAATATAAAGAAAATATTTATATTCTCTAGAAAAAAAAACATGTTTATTTCCAAATTTTGTTCCATTAGAAATCACAATAAAGTCTAATTTTGCCACTAATCTACTTTTTATGCAAAAATTAGGAAAATTAGTAGTTTGGCTAAAAGGCTGTTGGCCAGTGAGCTTTAATATTAACTTACTTAATTAAAGTAAAAACAAATTTCTACTTACTTAATTAACTTAATTTATTTAACTTAATTATTAGTGCATGAGAGGATATTTGGAGAGAACAGTGCAAACATTCAATACCTTTACTGGATTTGTTGTAAGACATTCTTTTTTCATTTGACTGTTTTGACTATTTTTATACATGTTAAGTAGTTATTGTGTTTTCAAATTCTAATAAAAAAACAAACAAATTGTATATTCAATCCTTTAACTTGGGAGGCCTAGTTGCACTTAATTAATCAGTTGCTCATGGAATATGTGGACATTTTCTACACCAAATATACAAGTTTTTTATTTTATTGATCAGGAGGAGTGTTAGAAATTTAGCTTGAGTCTCCAATCCATCCAGCCTGCCATCGTTTGGACAGCAACACAGAAAATGTGGGATGAAGAGCATAAAGAAGAAGTTATAGCGCTACAATAATAGATGTTGTCTTGTATCTATTTGTATTTATGTAACACAGGATTAGCATTCCATGATTTAAAAACAAAAAAAACCTTTAAGAAATGTTTTTATGTACCTTGCACCTTAAGCTTACCACTTTGCCCCTTTCCTACATATGTACTACATCTGTCATATCAATGTCATGCCACTATGTGGTTTTAATTCATTTGTCTTTGCAGTTTATGGTTTTAATAATTGTAGCAATAAAGGTTCATATATGCTTAGTACTGATGTGATTTCATTTAACTGTCACCCACAACTGACTTTACCTATGGTTCTGATTCTTTTTGGGCCTTTATACTCTTATAAAATACAGTATGGCAGGCTTAGGACCTCTGATCAGAACACAGCAACTCTAAATAATATTCTACTGGTATATGTATATTGTTCATAGGAGTGTTATAACCACATTTTCCTACAATAGTGTACAAGTTCACTATTGGCAGTCATTTTAAAGCATCAACTTGAAATTGAGAATGACAGATTTCTCTGGTAAATATGAATTGATGTGCAACTGATGTGAATACAACCTCTGTAGATGGCACTGTTTAATACTTGAAAAAGCAGAGCCTAGAACATGCAAAAGTACGAAATGTGAAGGAGTGATTTTACCAGGACATGTTTTACACAGATATTTTGCAAAATATTTAATTGACATAAAGGAAAAAGCTTTGTGAATGTTTCTTTTTATAAAACTACAACTATTCTAAAGCAAAAACATTCCTTTTTTTGTGTGTTATTTTGCTTTTATCTAGAGGTTAAGTGTGAGGTATACATGCTACTTTACAATTGTACTGCACAGGTCAGGATGCAATTATTGTTTATTTTGAAAAATATACCTTTTTTTGCATTTATTAATGTTTTAATGTCATGATTTTGCTATTTGGGATTGATTCATTTTTACAGTATATTTAAATGTTTGTTTGTGTCACTATAGCCTGTTGTTGAAGCATGTTATTTGAACTTGTGCACTTCATTCTGGCACAGTTAAACTGCAGTTGACAGGTAATAGTAACTCCTGATTATTTCACTCTTGATTTTGCTGATATTATGAGGATGTGTTGTCAGAATCTGAATAATTAAGTAAAATTTAGATTTACATTTGAAAATCTTTAGCTAACCAAATGTGATATGATTATTAAAGCAGTAAAATGTTGGTGTGACTCTATGAGAGTATTTCAAATGTAAGTTAGATGCTGTGAACCTAACATTAATGGCTCTCTGTTTTTCTCTTTGCAGTGTTAAGTTTCTAGCATTCGCCTTCTCTGTTAGGAGGAGTCAGTAACTGGTAAACATAATTGCGGCGGGAGCCACATAAGCAACAGGCTTTTCACGGATGGACAGTTGAAAGGAGATCTTTGAGGTGACGAGAGAGACCAGAGGGTAATCACGATAAAAAACAAAACATATATATAAATATATATCACATGGTCTGCTCCTCACATTGTTACCAAAGCAGCCTCTTGGATCGCCGACCACAATTTTTGACAACAGTTCACCTGCCCCTGACCCAGTTCTCCTCCCTATACCCCCTTACCCTTTCCTTCAAGCTGACTGAGCATTGCACTGACACACTTTTGGAGAAAAAAGGACTCCTGATGACACATTCCAGACAACATCTCTCTGACAGTGTTAGGAACGCCATCCTGCTTATAGACCAAATCAGCACCGTCTGCAGTGCTGAAAAACTGAGCAAGTTTTCCAGTTAGCACTTGCTATCACCTGGACTCACTGAACAATGTAGCATTTCTGCTAACACACTGTAGCATCTGTTGGTTGGGAAATACCTTGTCTAAAAACCAATCTATCCACAGTTCATCGAGAGAGAAAAATTATGCATTCAAGGGATCTTCTAGATGTCACTCTTGTATTCCTTACCAGTGAAAAAGAAAAAAAGTCATTTAGGGAGCACATGAGAGACAAAGGATTGGTCTTGTTCAATGCACAAATACCAGAAGAATCATAAATGCAGTCTTTAAAAGCACACCCCGATCGTCCCTTGTTAAAGTTTAGCACTTGTATAGTCTTCCATTAACTTCTATTAGACTGAAGTACTGCCCTGCTCATCAAACAGCACTAACTCTGAAGCTGAACAATCAAAGCACATGTAGCATTACCTGAAACAAGTCATAGAAATCCATTTTATACTCGCCCAAAAAAGTCTTTATCACTAAATAGTGTGAAAAGACTTATCCTTATCTCTTATGTACTGGTGTGGGCTTGCACGGAAATCTATGTTGAGTACCAAAGGTCTTTTAGCATGCACTTGCTGAATGACCCTCTGTAATGTCAAGTAGATTAGTAAAGGTATTTGATATAAGGTGAGGCTGCTACTCTCTCTCATACTAATCATCGTCTTTTGGTCCTTTTACTGCCAGTAGCTTCCGGTGCCTCACTGCACATGAAGGAAATGTCCCCATACATTGGTGACACAGACATGAGAAGTAAATAGACTGACTCAAAGAGTCAAACCCTGTTAGGTTATTGACCTGCCCTGCCTAAATTACAGCGTTGTTGTGAAGGGGACCAATGTGATTACAATTTCCCCAACACTGCCGTTTAGGCACAAGACTCCTCTGATGCATACTGCCCTGCCTCTCTCTTGTCCCTCTTGCTGCCAACAAGTGCTTCACTGGCAACACAATGTCACGGTGAAGTTCAGGAGGGAGGAGTCCTTTTCGACCAAAAGGAGATATTCAGTGAAACAGACCAAGTGCAGAGCAAGCGTGGACATGTACAAAGAGAACAAATCTATATTTTGATAAACAAATCTACGACGCTCCATGGCTTTGGAGAGGGTTTCCTGTCCGGGAAGAGTCCAGTGAGAGAGAAGATAGAAAAAAAAAAAGAGTCAAGGTCTCATACAAGCTGGAAAAGAGAATTGCTGGTAGAAAAGATGCAAGAAAAGAAGCTTCATGCTGGGGTGTGCAACATAATTTACCCCACAGGGTTTGGAAAAAAAGCTTTTTTGAAAGAACCTAAGCAGAGACTGACTCTTGCCTATTCATACATGAAAAAGGAAAAAGGATGAACAATAAGAACAATGGGAAAAAAAATGCATTTTTGTAACTTTGTTTACCAGCATGACTACTTTGCATGACTGTCTTTTCTGCAAGCCCTTAGTTGAAGACAAGGGTGCTAGAGATACAAAAAAGTATATATAAAGTAAATTTAAAAAATGTTATATGCAATTAATGTTTTAAAAAAAGATTATAATTAAAGAGAAGAGCTATATTTTCTTTTGAAAAGTAAAAAAAAATGTGAATATTGAAACATGTATGTTTGCAAAGTACACCCTGAAGTATGTTTTGTTTGATGAAATCTCTCTGCTACTACTGCCCTACACTCTTCATTCCAGTGTTTATGACCGCTGCCATAGTTTTTATTTTGAAGTGCGTTTAGCAGCATACTTTCTAAGCAGTCGATCGGCCTACTTTGCCCGTAGCATCTGAGCAAAGTGTGCTAGTTGTTGTCAGTCACAAATTCCATGTTTCCTCCTCCACTTATTTGCACATCCTCCGTAGCAAAAGCAGCACCCGTCCAGAAACAGTAGTTATCCATGTCACAGTTGTGAAAGCTTGATTAGCAATCATAGTTTGTTTGTTTTCTTTGGCAATAAGGCAAGAGTTGTCACGACTGTAGCAGATCAAAATGGAGTCCTTTGACATACCTTCATAGCTTTGGAGTTAAAGAGATTCTTGAGAGCCTTGGATGCCTCATTTGCAGAGATAGCTGTCTGGCCCTCTGCAGAAGAACAGGAAGACCAATAAGACGATAAAAGATGCAATACGGCAAGGAGTCAGAGATTTTAAGTTTGCATGGAACTAACTGATTTTCCAAGGTTAGAGAGTGGGCTGATAGTGTGTGTGGATGTAGGTCTTTTGCTATTTTCTTTCTAACATAATAAATTCTACTATATAGAAACATAATGTGAACACCTCACAGTGATGTGTTAAAGATAAACAAAAACAAGAAAAAACAAACAAAAAAAGCATGCATTATGACTTGATAATCTCTCAAGGGGGAACAGAGTCTTGCCATTTCCCCTCAGCCTTTTGTCATGGTTCCTGTCATGATTCCAGTCCTGATAACTTTATAAACACTGTGCCGTGTTGTAGAACAGCAAAGTCTTCCTCTGAGAGGCAACTGAAAACTACTCACACTCACAGTGTCAGCATGAGTGTGTATAGGTAGCTTGTCTTCATTTATTTATTTTTTAAAGATCAGGTCATAGCATCTGTCGTTACCGTATGGTGGAGTACTTGTCATCTCACTGGCTAGCTCATCGCATCGCACAACGCAGTCATGCAAGCACCAATCAAAAAGACCCAGAGCTTCCAAAATGATGTCAGAAGGGGAGACAGAAAGGGTAAGAGTTAGCTGTGTCCACCTGGGGGAGGCTGATGACAATAAAAATAATGAAGTTGAAGGAAGACGGGGGATCTGAGTGTTGAGGGGTCTTTGAGAACCTCTCCTTTCGTTTTGATTTCCAAGTGAGTTTCAGGCCCCGCTGGTCCGGGGTTTAGCTCAGGCAGCTGAATGGTCCTCGGCCCATTTCTTGAACAGTTCAGTTGGAAACCCACCAGAACATGTTGTGATGTAGACTACAGAGAGCGTTCAACAGTTCTGATGAGTCTGCGCAGGTTTTACAGGGTCAAGAGCTTTTGTCTATTTACAAAAAAAAAAAAATGTTTCAGAGTACATCCCTTTTAAAACATGTTCAGTTTCCCTTTGGGAAGGTTCTCATAGCTTGGATGACCACAGAGGTTTTTCAGAGGCGGCGTGCAAACCGGCAAAAAAAACTTTGTGCTTCACCCAACTGTTTGTGAAAAAAATTTTGTTATTTTTTCCGACCAGGTGGTGTTTTAATTTTATGCCACTGCTCTCCAGTGTTAGTTAGGTTTGCCATATCTTTGTTTTCCACATTGGGAATATGTCTGCCAGTGGTACCCTGAAAAAAGATGTCTTTTTTTTTTCCAAATGCATAATACTGCCATTTAATTTAAACTCAGTGAATAGAATGGATTACAATGTTGATTGTGCTAAGTCTGTTTTATTTTTAAAGGTTCTTTCTGTTAGAAAATACAAAAAAAGGTCCTTGTCAAAAGAACAGAAATGCTTTACACAATATTTCAAGGCTACTTTGTGTTTGTGTGTTAGCCAGATATATCCTCTGCAGATATTTAGAGGATGTCACATGGTCTTTGCACAACATATCCTTTATGGCATCCTGTTTAGTTTACTTACATTTTTTTTCTCTCTTCTGAAATGTTTTCACCATGTCTATTTTTGTTTGAGGACACTGTATGCAATCCACACCATGAATGCCACTGATTGACACTTACTGTATGCTCCCTGAGACACAGATGTACTGTCATCAGTCTAGATGTTTTCAGATACCTATGGAGTGGCGCTGTGGCTTTCCATAGTTTAACATAGCAATCACATATATCTAAAAAAAAAATATTTTAAAATTGATAAGAAAAGAGTTATCTTAGAGCAAATTATATCACATTATATATAGTTTTTTGATATATTAAATGTTATTTTAATTAGAAAATATGACAACAGCCAAACCTCTTAAAGACGTATAATTTAACGCATCGTACACCCACATAAGCATCCCAAAGATTCATTTTACATACTATTATTGTGTAAAACAGACTTAGGTACTGGTCCATTGTACTGTGGTCTTGAACGGAGCGTAATGGGGACAAGAGGTGGTCACTGGAACGCCAGGTTATAACTTATGCCGGATTTCATTTTTGAAATGTTGGGGCATGAAGAACAACTCATCAAGAACTGTAAAAAGTATATTTCAATGGAATGTTCATGATCTATCTTTTTATATTTTGAAGAGTAAAAAAAAATAGAAACATATCAATAAAGTGTCATAATTGAACATATTTCTACTATTGAGACTTAAAATGTATGAATGTCAATGCGATCTAATGTGAACCAACCTGCATTGCAGCTTGAATGAATAAGTCATGAGATGCTTTTTCAGAGACAATGAAATTGCTTAAAAATAACTGAGATCGACCTAAAATAAATGAAAAAGTAATCTCAGTTGTGTGTCAGTTTGTTGAAGTTGACTTATTCCAAACAAAATAAGTATGCTGTCATGGATACTGACTGGGAAGGCTGTGACATTGTGAAGCGACTATTACAGTTAACTTTGTTTAGCAATCTGACAGCAGTAGGGAGACAACTGAGCACTGAGTGATATAACCAGGCTTGAAATGAGGTGGCAAAAAATATTCAGTCTTTCAAGATGCAAGAGAGTGACACGTTTGAGGTCATTTCTAAGAGGCTGTTAAATCTCCTTGGAGTTTAGCATAAGGTAGATCTTGAAATTAATTTGTAACTTCTTTAGGAGAATTTGGGGTAAGATGATGATCTAATGCACCTTTTCTCTTTTGTAAAAAAAGCTAAACTGTCCATAAGATTTGCTTTTAAAAGGCTCCACCTATTGGCACAAACACATAATAGTTTACAGAGATACTGTGCTCTATAAAGGTATTTATACTACTGAACCATTTTGTAGTATATCATGTTTATACTACAACCTGTCACTACAAATACAGCTGCAGTTTTAGGTCTAACAGCTTTCCTCTTTGAGAGTTTTATTTTATTTTTTTACATTCACAAAATGGTTCCAATCTGTCAAACTGGGTAAAGAGCATCAAAGGACTTTGAAGACTTTAATACAAGAGATTCTCTATTAGATTTAGGTCTTGATTGATGTCTGTGGCTACAAGAACTTTGAAATATCCATTTTGGATTTCTTTGTTGCCTCCAATTACAAGTCTTTGTATTAAGCATATTCAATCAAACCCCAGCAGGTTGTTTGGAGACAGACTGCATTAAGTCTATCAACAAGCAGAAGTGTATATTTTCTATGAATGAAGCCAGCTATTAGGAAATGTCGCCCATAGCCTCTTGGCTTTTTAGCTCAACTGTTGCAAAGCATCATCTCCCTCTGGTGGAAAATGATGGTAATGTTGGATTTTGTGAGTTTAGTTTTACATTTTTAAAAATATATTTAGTTGAAACAGGTAAAACGTTTGATCTTTCTAAGTTTAAAATATTTTTAAAAACAAAGGGAAATAGTGTTGAGGTTGCTCCTTTCGCTATACAAGGAAGGTTCAGCAATTAAACTAGCAAAATATGACACGATAAGACAGCCAAATTGTTAAGTTTCTCATAAGATAACAAACATTATGGCCAGAATTATTCATAATAGTTGATTTTATTTAGCAGAAGTCAAGAAAATAGTCCAGGTTTTAAAAGGTTTAAAGGTGATTTTACCATAATTTCAATCTTTCAGCTCTCTCTGCAAATTCTCCATCAACCATTTAACTTTGAGACTGGATAGTGACTAAACCATGTGTTGACAAAATTAAAAGTAAAAAACTTAGTCATATAAAAACCTTAATATTTCAATAGTATCAAAAGTTTGGGGCTTAACTATAATTTTTTATTTTAGTTTTTCAGGTTAGGGTTAGTTTTAGTTTTTCCTATTTACCTTTTTTCTTACATATTTTATACATCATTCCATATTAGCAGTTATATCTGAAGGTAAGATTTATGTACAGGTAACAGCAAAAAAAAAAAAAATTGTATGAAGCAGTGATTTCACTGAGTGTTCTCACACACAAAAAATTTGGTGGGTTTGGATATATATTTTTTAATTATTATTTTATTTATTATTTTTTCAATAACTTGATGACAATTTAAATCAAATATGGTCAGAATGAGTTTTAACAAATAATTGCATAACCTATTATTATTAGATCAACAACGTCTATCTATCGCTGCATGTTTTTGTACTTGCACAGGCCACCAGACTTTTATGGAAAATGCTGTTATTTCAAAGAA